TCAGAAACGGCTGAGCATACATATCATTTTTTTTAACTCGTTAAATGTGATTTGGCGGTGAGGAAGTAGCACATCCGGTTGATTACCGTGACGAAAGCCACCTATTGCACTAAGAGCAAACATTACAGTTCTGCGGTTGCTCTCTAAGAACAAGAGCTGTTGATTCCTTTTTAGTACTGTCTGCAGTCTGATCAGCAGTTCTTTAGTCTGATCAGCAGTGTATATCATGAAAAATGGACATGAGCAATGCTTTATTTGATATACAGTTAAACTTCATTATTTCAAACATCAATACCTGATAAAGTTTTGAAAATCCTTTAAGTCATATTCTTATATATGCTGATCTGTAGATTATAAAATAAAATGACCAGAACTAGATGCTTAGAGGTACGTTTTTCTCTTTTGGATATACTTGAAAAAAAAATAGAAGATTTCTTTTAAAGGAGTTTTAGCAACCGTTTAATCCATTATTTGATCCAGAGAAACCATAACTGTGATATAAGGTACTTAAAATGATTACGAAATAAAAAAAAATTGGAAAGCTAGTTATGTATCATGACTTTTTATTAAATACATTTATTGTCATTCAGTGATGTCATTCAATGATGATGTTTCTTTGTGAATAAATAATTTTGCACTTATAATTACCTAACAAGGAAGGTTCTTACTATACTTGGTTTGAAAAGGAGGCTTGCAGACAATGCTTTTGATGAAGTATTTGATAAGGCACGGGTAATAATTCTCTTTCTTATAAATAAATAAATATAAGTGTGCAGGTTAAATTCTTCTGTTCTCCTAACTGTTATTAATTAATTCTTCACTTAAAGTTTAGAATACAATGATCAACTTATTTGTTGAATGTTAATGTCTGAAAGATGTGTAAAATTCGAAAATTTTTGGTGGAATTCATATTTTATGCTATCTTTTGAGCTCTAATTACCATGCACTGTTACCAAAATATAAAATTACATTATATACTTGTATTTGAGGGGAAAAGGTACACAATTATCAATTTCTGAAAATTGTGCCAAAACTTGCATATATTAAGATACACATAAAGTTGGTCAGATATGCTTAATGAGCAAACCTACATGCAGTTAACAATCTTCTGTAGAGAGAAATACTGAATGGATGTTCAGGTGCAGAAAGTCTAAGAAGAATTTGAAAAATGAAACACCACTTTAATATTACCAGGTAAGTATATAATCAAGGTCAATCCATTCCTCCATCCATGAGTGTATGCATCTAAAGATGAACATACTATGATATTATATTTCATGTAAATTAGTTGAATCTGATTCATTGAGGAAATTTGATAATAACACTATTTTCTCCTGAATGATGAAACCATGCCCTCCAATGCAACGGAATGTGATATCAGTTAGCATTGCTAAATGATGAGTCGTGTTCCCAAAAATTGTTGACTGTAAGAAATCTTTATGCATGTATATTTAGTTTTATTTGTACGTTGACTAAAATAAGTAAGGAAAATTCAAAATTATTTTTTTTTTGACTTGGTTTTTGATGAATATTTATGTTGTAAAAATATGGCGCAACCTTTATTATTAAACATTAGGTAAATGCATCGATACATTGTATTTAAAAACATGACACAGAGAAGTTTGAGTCTAAAATTGTTTACTTATATCGGTATCCACGAACTTTTGCTATGAGGATTAAACGAGGTAATTCGGGGAGAGAAATATGCTGGGATGTTTACAGTTAGCTGTCATTTTAATTATGTAATAGCGATGAATGGAGGTTCAAAGAACATACATCAAGTTTTTATCATCTTTAAAAGACGGATTCTTAGATAATTTTATCTCTGAAATCATGAAAGACTAAAGGTATCCTCGTAACAAGTACAAAGAGTGGTAAATAAAAACTTTGGAAAAGGTGTCCTTAATCTTCGTTTGCTTTGTTTTTGAATTTGATATCAGTTAAACAGGTATCAACACACCTCCTTGTGCTTTTGATATTTGAGTAATATTAAATGAATTTCTGTCTCATTTTTTTCATATATTATTTACAAAGTTTTTTTTTGTATAATACATTATAAATTCTTGTATAATTATTCCTTTTAATTTACCTAGCAATTACATTTATTTACATAATAAAGCCCTGCCCTAACTTCAATCTCCCTGACACAGGGGCTATAAATCTCACAATTTTAGAAGAGGTACCCTTGCTCATCTTGAATTTGCACTTTATTTCTCTGCTAAATACCAAGGAGCAGTGAAAAAGATATTTATGAAAAAAACATTCATTTTCACTATATCAGTAATTTAGAAGAGTCCCGCCCTAACTGTAGAACCCCTAAACTAGGGGCCAATTTCATAATTTGGAAGAAGCACTCTTGCTCTTCATATTATAATCATTCACTTTGAATTATTTCTCTAATAAATACCCAGGGGCAGAGAAGGAGATTTTCAAAGAATTTATGCATTTCACCATATGATCAATAGAACCCCGCCTTAATACCAGAAATCCTGACCCTGGGGCCAACAAAGTCACAATTATAATAGAGACCTCAGTGCTTATTACAATCAAGCCGAGGATCGAAAATCAAGCTGAAATGTTCGAATATTAACATTTGACGCAAGTCCCACGACAAAAGACAACGGACGAAAATAGATAGCAAAAGGTCACGTGAGTGACTAATTTTTTATTAATGTGACCTAAAAAATGCTACATGTATAGTATGTGTCCATCCACCGAAAACACATTCTCTCTCTCTCTCTCTCTTAAATTTCGACATAGTGAAAAGAAAGACAACTTGTAGATATCATAAATCCAAAATTCTACATAAGTATATGTACCGATTTCTTATTGTCTGCACCAATCTCTTTTACAGCTTTCTCTCCATCCTTTTGGAGTTCGATTCTCTTTCCATGCTTCCTCCTTTATTCTTAACATACGCTTGGATCTCATTCTTCCGAATCACTTCGTGCTTTTTCTTGATTTTATTCTTAGCATACGCTTGGATCTCATTCTTCCGAATCACTTCGTGCTTTTTCTTGATTTTCTCAATAACACCCCTATACATGTACATGTATATTATCGTCTCTAACCTTTTCCATCCAAAATTCTTCCTTATTTCGACTCTTCCAAAATATCTGCGAAAAATCTTCCGTGATTGGTGAGTAGAAAAAGTCAATATTCCAATCAAATTATGTAATGGGGAAAAAACCCTCCTCACACCCTCACTTGAGAGACTTCTTATCTTCCCTGGGTCTTTCAGCTTGCAAGGGTCTTATTTTACAAAACTAACAGCAAACAGAAATCAAACAAGGAAACGGTTGATGTAATTACCATTATTTACTCCGTAATAATAAGATTCAACACTTTGATTTAATATGACTTTTTTTACTCATTAATTTTTTTTTGTCTTTCGTAAAATTTAAGACCACGACCAGTGATTTCGCTTGAGTTTCAAATTAAAGCTTGTATATTAGAGAAGCTTGCATACAGGTATTAGAGAAAGAAATGGAAAGTGACACAAAAATGTTCAGTCAATACTATAATTCAAGTTGTTCTGAAACACTTTATTAAGATAATGTTTCTCCTTCTTTCTATTGTTTCGCATAGTCCAATATTGAGGATCCAGATAAATCTGCTTGCTTCATAACAACGTGGCTTTTGAAATCCAAGAGCTTGCGTCCTCTCTCGTTCGTCTCCGTTTTGCAGTAACGGAGTGGTTTTTGACTAGAACTGCAGTGGCAAGTGCAGTTCTAGTCAAAAATTTTGTCTGTGCTAATCAACAATGACACGAAATATCACTGTATACCATATAACCTCCCAACGTATCTATAGATAATTTTTTTAACGTTTGCTTAGTACGGCTTACAGTGGTTTTAATTAAACATTAAAATGCTATAAGGGAAATGACAGTTGCTAACATGCCAGAAAATGCATTTTTTTTCAGGAATTGCAACCGATAGTCCCCATATTAACAAACAAAAATACGTTTTATTGTTTTATAAATTGTAAGTATAGAACAGATGAAGTACGTAAATTATTGTATTATTTATCCGAACGTTGCATTGATGGAGGAGCCCCGTTCTTAAGACAGAGACAGACGGCTTTACAAAACCAGTTCTAACTAGTTTAAAGTCGATCGATTAACTGGAACAGATTAAAATGAGGATATAATCAGTGGATGTAGACATATTTACATTTACTGTACTTTTCTTTATGAAATCCATTGGAAATTTACAACATTCAATAGCCTCTAACACACGAAACCTTGTCACACGTTTAAGCTTGATTGCTGTTCGTTATCTCCATAGTTCCTTCATGTTTTGAATCTGGGGGAATTAGGAAAGATAACTCTTGCAAGTGTATTTTTTGTACCATTTTTTTTTAAAATTGGTATTTTTGTTAAGAAATCTTTCATTCAATTTGTCACTTTTTATTCATTGACATACATTTTTTGTCTATTTATAACTGATTTCCCGAATTATTCATATGCTTATTAAGAAGAAAAGCACATTAGTTGTTTTTTGAGAAAACTATTTTTTCTAATAAAATGAAATACTGAATATTATGAAGTCGTGTCATTTTCTTTACATGTCTGAAGAGGATATCCATCACTTAACAATGTGAACTTAGCGATTCTATTGATTAGAAACTTGAATTAAAACATTTAACCAAAATTACAAAAATGATTGAAAATGATTAAAAAATACCTAATGGTATGGTATCGTAATCAGCACTTGGATATTTGCAATCTACATGATAAGTGGTGCTGCAATGAAATATGAAATAAACTGTGGGTGTTATGAGCCTCCTTAAATTATATCCGCCCCTCCAAAACTGCTAAATAGGTAATCCTATACCCGTTCCCAGTAAAATGTCTTTTTGTCGTTATCTTCTATTATATCGACATTATATTTTAAATCAGGAAATTATAAGGTATATATTAAATGATAAATAAAATTTTGCGTTGATTCAAGCGACGTTTGTTTATACCCGGAAGTTTAATTGCTATCAAAGTAACTATGGCTGTCAGGAAGTTACTGAGTTCTATTTTCAGTGTTATCATTTTATGTTTTTATCAATGTGCGGGTAAGTATTGCAAATAACGGTGTGATTCAATGTACAATTAACTTATCAATAATAATTCTCTTACGTAGTTTCAGTCTTTTTTCAAGCTTAAGCCAGAGGGGTAGATTTTTAGTACGAAATGTCGTATCTGTGAAAATTATAACATTTACATGACAGGAGGTCTATTCTTAAGGCACAGCTGATATCATTTATGCGTTTGTATATCTTACTTACTTTAAATCAGGTCGACCAAAGGAGAATTGTACTTTTTATTAAATAACATGCTTAGTTCATGTAGGCTTCGAAACCGGGGGGGGGGCTACTATTTTGCAAAGATAGACATGATATAGGCATTGAAATTGGGGCTTACCTCTTTTGTTGGTTTAGCCCCCCAAATTTCAATTAGCCCCCCTCCCCCACTTTCAATTTGCTATCATCTTCATAGTGTCAAGGTTATGTAATGTTGTTCCTCTGTGTTGAGGAATGTGTTAAATTGTTAACATTTATGACAAATATAAAGGTGTTATAACCAGGTAAATTCTGATTATAAGATATAGAACAGAGTCTTGGACTATATCCGTTGTTTTAGCACAAACTGGCAAGAAGGAACGTTGGCGGGTATTAAAGTAGCGGCGCTGTGGGGCCGTAATACAATTAATTTCAGCGAGATCCGTAGAGACTAAAAATTTTGGTCTGGTGTCTCTACGGATCTCAGACCAGTGTCACATAATTTCATTCGGGGTTTCGTGCCCGAACTTCGACCGCTTGTTTCGATTAATACGGGCTGAAATGAATTAGCTGTCCGCTTCAACTTTTTGCTTTGGACATCCTTTAATTCCCTATCACCATAAAACTTTCGTTTCTTACCTCTGAAAGGTTAAAATCCATCAAAATATAAAGTTAATGATTTTTCATAGCAATAAGCTACATGTATTCGTTTAAACCTCCGATGCTGAAGACTTCCAGCAATAGTATGCCCAAATACTTCGTATAAACCGTTATCTGAGACAAAAAATGTCTATCTATTGTAACCATTTAGTTACTCAGAGACTGGAATTAAGGTTTCTAGCAATGATTGCTTAATTGGAATAACATTTCATATGTAGGTGAACTTACTCTAAGTTCGGCGAAAGTGAGGGAAGGAGAAGCATTAGAATTATTGTGCCAGTCATCAGAAGCTGGTGGATTATATACGTTTTACTCTTCGAACAATCAGGGATACGAAAGGTATGGTATTGGTGTGGGGAGTTTCAAGAGTTGTCAGACTGGAGATGTACCTGGATACATAATGGAATGTGATTTTGACAACTGGATATTCAATCTGACAATCCTAAATCCTATTCACAACCAGGTCATCTTCTGTAACAGACGCACAGGCCCAGAGGATACTATAATCATCAATACAACTATCTTTGTTCAAGGTACATGTAAATTGCATAAAAGTTGAAGGAAAAGATTAACGCCCGAACTTTTAAAATATTTTTGGATCTTTTAAAGTGAGGTATATGTATATGAAGATAACGAACAGCATTCAAGCTCAAAAGTCCACCGAAACAATAAAAATGAGGAGCAGAGCCGCAGACAATTCAGTGTGTAAATAATGGCCTAACGATAAGTATGAAAAACTTCAATCAGCATTTGACTCAGTGATAGATTGTTTTTATAAAATTGCTGACAGGGTCATTGTAACTTACAAAATGATGACTTTAAACGAGACTCTTGATAAGACGAATCAATATAATTTAAGACCTACAAGTAGGTAAGTGATCATAGTGCAATTATATCTGTAATGTAAAACAAAAGAACTTAATAAGCGATCCTCCAATATTTTCCATAATCGGTCATAATAAAGAGCAACATATACAATTAATGTATGTTTAACATACATTGTATGTTTAAAGCTATATATACAGACCTTGAAACCTGCTAATACCACCAAAAAAGGGCTGATATGACATATGATATGGATTTTAGTATGTAATATTCTCTATTTATTTTGAGTAGCCGTCACGGTGGCTCAGTTGGTAGAGCGCTCGCTCCGTGAGAAGGCCATTTGTTCGAATCACGGCCGCGACTGACCTAAGTCGATAAAAAAATAGGTAGCAACTGTTCCTTCGCCAAACGCTTGGGTTTTTGAATTGAAAGTTGCGGGTCCTTCGGATGAGACCTTAAAAACTGAGGCCCCGTGTCGCGATAGGCGTTGGCATGAAAAAGAACCCTCATTGCTCAATGGCCCTGAGTGCCGAGTAATGGTCTAAATTTGAAGCCCTTCACCGGTATATGGTGATGTCTCTATATGAGTGAAAAATTCTCGAATGGGACGTAAAAGAACATTCAATCAATCAATCAAACTTTAGTTTGAGTAGGGGTACCATGTTTACATCCAATTGCCATTGAATTCTGGCCCCGCTCCACTCTTTGAAGCCCTTAAAATATACGAGGGCACGTAGGTTAGGAACGATATTATACAATCATTGACTGGGGTTGAGGGAAACATTGATTATGTTAGCCTCGAAGGGATGAATTAATGCCCGACGCGGAGCGGAGGGCAATATTTTCGTCTCGAGGAGGCTACGTAATCAATGTTACCCGAAAACACAGTTAAAAATTGTTTTGTTGTATTGAAAAAACAAAACAAAACAAATCAAGCAAATAGTATTTTGATTCAATTCATTGAAAATCAGCAATGATTTGTATCTTATGCATTATCCTGTCCGTGATTGTATTGCTAGCGAATCTTTAAGGTGCCATAATTGTGATACTTGTTTTGTTTTGTTTTGTTTTGTTTTTTTTTATTGTGACGTTATCTTTTTTTTAATATACAAATACCGACTGGGGTTAAGGGCATCATTGATTATGTTAGCCTAGCTCCAAGGGATGAAATATTGCCTGACGCGGAGCGGAGATCAATATTTTCATCCCGAGGAGGCTAATATTATCAATGTTGCCCGAAAACACAGGCAAGATTTGTTTAGTTATATGAAAAATAAATCATTAAAATAGTATTTAGTTTTAAACAAATTATTTGCATCTTGAGTGTAAACCTAGTGTTTGCGAATCTTGCCTTGATTGTGTTACTTGGTTTTTCTAATGTGAAGTTTTGTTTGTTAGTTTCGCGACGGTATCATTACGTCACAATACATCAATCTTCTTATCTTCTTATCAGAATCCAAATCAATAAAATTGTGGGAAAACTCTCTTTGTCCTGTCAATAGTCAAAATTAAATGACCAGTCAGTATTTTTAGGAGGAGCTAATATCAATTATTTTGAATGATTCTCTATATAGAGAATATAGGGACTATTCTTTACTGAATGTAACAATTCAATCTACTAATCAGAATCAAAATCAATAGTACTGTGGTAAAACTCTCTTTGCCGATCAATAGTTAATTAAATGACCGTCAGTATTTTTTGGAAGAGCTAATATCAATTATGTAGACTGTTTTTCTATATAGAGAATACAGAGACTATTCTTTACTGAATATAACAATATAATATTATTCAAAGAAAGCAATATTTGACATTCCATTAAACAAAAGTTCATCAGGACTCCGCTCTTGTCCTTATATTACCAGATTGTGATAAACGATGTTGAAACGATGTGTAATTTTAGTTTTAGCTCACCTGAAAGGAAACCTCAAGTGAGCTTTTCTGATCACATATTGCCCGTCGGTCTGTAAACTTTTCGACATTTTCAACTGCTTCTCAAGAACTACAGGACCAATTTCAATTAAACTTGCCACAAATTATCATTTAGTGAAGGGAATTCAAATTTGTTCTCTTTTAGGGGGGGGGGGGGGTAAATAAAAATACCGGTAGTGACGATTTTGTGGTATCTTTTAAAAAATTCTCCTCAAGAACCACTCCGTCAGAAAGGTTGAAACTTATGTGTAACCTTAATTTGTACATAGTGTAAATTCAATAAGAGAATCAACATATATATTGTATGTTTACATACGCGGATATGTTAAGGCTACACCCAGAGAAATCCTACTTGCCTTTACAATATGACGTCATAGTAAGCTGTATGACGTGAACCTTAGAAATAATGATTTCTTAATATCTATATTTAAAGTTTGATATCAGGTCAAAGAAATGGATGGAATCATTAAAAACATAATATAAACTAAATCTTGTCGTTTTTGGGTGGTATAAGTAGCTAATTATTTAGCACGGGGGTTAAATACCAAACCCATGACGTCATAACTATTGATCAAATATTTACCGAGTGAAATTAAAAGTGACGAGAATTCTTATAAACAAATATATGAAATGGGAGTTTTAAAGCATATACCGTGAATGTTATGTGTGATTCATAAGGAATTAAAGATTAAGAATCAGGTAGGCTGATATATTCTTATCATGTTTTCTTATAATGAACACAGGCAGTGCTTTGAAATCCCGATCAACCTTTCCTCTGTCGATCTATAACAACAAAGATGCAAAAGTTCAACACTACGCCGCATACTTTGAAAAATAATTTTTGTTTGTATCGAAAGCTTGTATTCTATAGTACTTGGAAAGTGCTGCTAGAATCGTGTGGTTAACATGAATTGATAACATTTCCATGATCGTATGTATAAAATGTAAAAAATTTGGTAAGATTTCATGCGAAACTTTGGAATATTTTTTTCTTTGTCGGGAGAGTAGGATTCTAGCAGCACTTTTCATGGCCCAGTGATGTTTTTACATAATTATTTTCACTAAAAGAAATGAATTATCTCCGGGGTAGTGTTGAACTTTTCACTTTTCCATTAAGGCATTTTTTCTTTTATAGACGTCACGTGATGACGTTCGTAGTGGAGTGCTTCTTTTAGCCTAAGATTCAATGACGTCTATACAATGGATAATAATAGTAAATGTTTTATATGTGGCTTTTCCGATTTATTAATGTTACATTTTACGAAAAAAGTCTAAATTCGCCGAAATATGATCTGTGTACTGCCTTAACATACCTGCGTATATTGATAACATATGTTTTACAAATAAAGCTACATATACATTGTAAGATTAACATAAATGCTATTAGCATATGTTTGATATATAAAAAAGCAATATATAGCATGCATGTTTAACCAAAAGAAAAGCAACATATACAATTTATCTCCAACGTAAAAAACGAAATGAATGATCAACCTGATTGAATTGAATGATTACCAAAAAAAAAAAAAAAAAAAAAAAAAAAAGAAAATGGATTTCTTTTTATTTCTAGTGCCTGTCAAAAGAATCATGCTGTCTCCATCATCTAAAGTAGATGTTGTGTCTGGAAATTCGTTAACCTTTACCTGTGTAACATTTGCTTCTAGACCTGCAGCAGAAATTGTGTGGCACATAAACTCTACGACTCTTGCTGGAAATACTTCAATTGTTTCTAAATCTGGGCTTAAATATGATGTGAACAGCACGTTGACTTTAACATTAACAAAACAAGACAATAGTAAAGAAATTTACTGTAGTTCTAACAACACATTTTTGGAGAAGCCACTGAAATCATCTAAAGCTTTTTTGAATATACTTTGTAAGTACATTGGCCTTTTATCAATGATTTAATTATTATTAGTAGCAGTATTAGCTCAGTTGATCGAGAGATTCAATTAAGGGTATCTGGAAAAGTTTAAGTCGTCAATTGTCCGGTGCTTTTCTTTTCTTTTCCTTTTTACATGTTAAACTTGGCTACTATTAAAACACATTTGTTATAAAGTATTCTTGGGTGAAAAGAATTCAAGCGTTTTCTTTGAATTTTAAAGAAAAATAATTAGAAAATAATTAGGATATTTCAATAACCTCGGGATCAACATGGACCCTTAGTAAACTACTGGGGCGGGAATTTCAATCTGAAAGCTGGGATAAACATACAGAGTATTTCTTGAAACATTACAGCAGACCAGTAAGTATCAATAACCACAGAAAATAGTAAATTCACAGTGCAATTTCGAAAAGGAAACTTATTTTTAGTATTAGTTTTGACGAGGTATTTTTTTTTTTTACCAAAACTCAGCTGAGTAAGTGTCAACTAAAAAAAAAAGCGATTATGTATATTGTAAACAAGTCGATAAGTAGTAAGCAATTAAAAAGCAGGTTTCGGGACAACAGAAGAAATGTTTTAATACAGAGAGCAAAGCGTTTATCAAGCAAAATTATTTATTTAGCAAAATTTATTTTTTTCGGGGAGGGGGGTTGGGGGGAGGTTGGGAGGAGGGGGTTCAGCTGTCCAAAATCGATTGATAGGTCTGCTATTTTTATTTCTTTGATTTTCTCAGATCATGTATTAGCAGCTGTATTAAATACAGGAGATGTTCTGTAACTGACATTAGATTGATTATTAACTCTAACTGCAAACGGTGAATATATTTTTAAGGTCAAGTCTGGCAACCTGTGCATTAATTTCACTGAATGCTTGCATTCTGTAATTTGCACACATCATATTGTTTCAAGTATCATATAATTGAATTCAACTCTAAGGAATAGCTAAAAAAGTATAATTACAAACAACATTGTCTTAATTAATGCCATATGTAAATACATGTATAATGTTAATGTTAAAGGTAGTTACCAGTAGTTGGATAATAACATAATTCTGGCATGTAGGAAATATCTTTCATAATCACAATAGTTATTTTACCATTTATATAATTACCATTTTATTTGTATATCTTGAATTCCCTTTTAATTCTTTCTTAACAAGTTATAAATTTAAAATGACATTTACATTCCCTTAACCCTGCCCTTAGATGCGTATCCCTCCCTATGTCCTTGCGTGCTGGTCACTTTCTTGAGATAGGAGCTTGCTCACAGGTATATCTGTATACTTTCTTATTGAAATTCATGCAAAATTTACAAAGGGTTTTGTTTTACGCATCTCACCATGGAGATAAACATATCAGGATGACACCCCCGTCCTTTTCGTCAGTTTTTATTGAATACGATTTTTTTAAAAATCATTTTAATCCAGAAATAAATATTATGATAGTTTCTAATGAATATTTCAGGATTCTTTTACAGTAAAACATTGAAATATAATTTGAACCACTTATAGAACACCTCGGTAAAATTATTCAATTTTTTGCAAAAGCCCTCTCTATAAGATTAATTCGAATTTGTTTAAACCATCCCCCCCCCCCTGGAAGTTGGCAAGATGCCACGGATGGGGTTTAAAGTCTTTTTATAGAAAAAAAATTGAAAATTGTTAATAATCATCTTGGGCAGGTTGCTACATGTACATGTACCTGAGGAGCTAAGAAACATTCCGATTTGACAGTTTAGCAAGGAAGGTGATAGGCCTCATTTAACCCGGTATGATGAAATGAAAACCAAAGAACAATTAATGTAATATTTTGCAAGTTTATGGACGATACAATGACCTTGTCTGCAAATACACCCTATCATTAAGTCGAATGCCCGTGACGTTTTCCATACTAATTATTACCATTATTTACACATTGAACTGTTTTTCCCGATCATGACAAGGAGCACACGACGGGTGTGACCGGTTGGCAGGGGATGTTCACTCCTCCATGGCACTGATCCCACTTCGGATATTTTTGGAAGTCTATGTTTGCTCTGCTCCCGATTTTTATTGTTTAAGTGAACTTTGAGCTTGAATACTGTTCATTATCTCCATATCTCACTTTTTAAACTGTTATCAAATGAACAGCTTAAAAACAGCCAAATAACAACTGAAAACTCTGAAGAAAATAGCAGCTCATTCTATCTTGGGAGATAACCCAATTGACTTTGTGATGAAAATTTTATTTCATTTGCAAATTATAAGGCAAATCATTGTTTCCGTGAGAAATGTCAAAAGACAATAAAACCTAGATAAACAGTGTTTTAATATTGTATGCGATCGATATGATTTTGAAGTCAGAGAATTCAAGTGCTTAAACAACAACCCACTTACTATTTAGAACGTTTGCTTCCTTGGTATCATGGTGTTAAGAAGCATGAGATAAAAATTAAGGCATTTCACTTTTGAGAGAATCAAAAATATCCAGTTTTTTGTGAACAACTTAAAGATGATCTTTCTCTCACAAGGTCTTGGTTTAGTCTGCATCGTTTTTTAAATAAAATAACACTCCCTGGTCATTTTATTCTTCCATCAAAATAAAGCAAAAATATATCTTTCTATATATAACTACAATCATCAGAGGCTTATCCATTAATAGTTTGCCCATGAAAGATGTAAAAATTGTATCTATTGCAACACTGTGATATCATTAATTTCAGAAAACCCTGAAAATATTCATGAACTATTGGCAAGTTCTATGGGAAGCCGATTAGAATATTTTTGAGAAAAAAAATCATAAGAAAATTATAAATATTGTCTCGGAAAGTTCCTCTGTTCCTCTGTTCTTCCAACCTTTTTCTGATCGTTCCTCATATTTTGTGTTAAGTACTTGTTCAAAGAAACCACTCAAGAATCTTTGCACATCCTTGGGTGAAAGGGATTTAAATATGCTCACAGGAAGTGCTGCGTTCTCTTTCAAAGAGAGATATTTAAGAATTCGTAAAATTTGTGAGGCATCTTGTAGAAATCTTCTCAGGAACTATTGGGCAAGAAAAGATGAAACGTATGTGAAAACTTCATTACATACTCTATATTCAAGTTTGTTCATATCATAACCCCCGGGGTTAGGTCGGGGCCACAAGAGGGGGTCGAAGTTTTACATAGGTATATATTGGAAATGTCTTTAAAAATCTTCTTCTCGAGAACAGCAAAGCCATGATTAGTTATATTATAATAGAAGTATCCTCAGGTAGTGTAGATTCAAGTGTGTTCCAATCAGGACCCTTGGGAGTAGGGCAGGGCCACGACAGGGGGTCAAAGTTTACCTAGGAATATATAGGAAATATCTTTAAAAATCTTCTTCTCAAGAACAGATAAGCTATTATTAGTCATATTAATACAGAGGTATCCTCAGGTAGTGTAGATTCACGTTTGTTCAAACCATGACCCCGGGAGGGGGGGGGGGTAGGGCGCAGCCAAATCAGTGGGTCGAAGTTTTACATAGGAATATATAGGTGTAATGGTTAAGGGGCATTTGAGTAAAACGCATTGATCACTTCAAATAGTAGAATGACCCAACAACCCTTGGGATGGACTAGCCCAACCAAAGGGTATATAAGGCAAAGCTTTGGGAAATTCAGGCATTCAGAAGCTAGCTGAAGAAGTTGGATGTAGAATCAGCAATAAAGAAGATAAAGTATTCCACCTCTAATAGCAACAAATTCAATGAAATTGAATACAAAACAGATGTGTAGGGGTTGAATACTCAATATATTTAGACATAATTCCCATTTATTACTATTAGTATGTAAGGGTGGGATGTGTCCTAATTTATGACCTTGAATTTTGGTAACAGTTTTCTCCCCCTGTTTTTAATCAATAAAAATCAATTTTTCAAAACTTCTCTGGTAAAAAAAAGTCGTTTTCAATTGTCATTCTATTTCTTATGTTTCAGTGCATCTTTCCATCACAGTATTTATTGATATTCCTAATATTTGAATTTTTATTTTAAAAAAAATCGCTTTTCCCCATAGACTTCAATGCAATCTTTGTTAATTAATTACTGCTTAGTTATTTCCATAATCTTTCTCTTTGTTAAACCTTTTATACTGTAAAATGCTTTAAAATAATATCAGAGTATTTTGTTCGTGATGGACAATTAAGGAAAGAAAATTTGGTCCTATTGGTATAGGAATGGAAAACCTTAAGTGTAAGAGCAAAATAAAAGTATAAACGTTGTAAACACCAGTGGCAAGTATCCTAGGGAATTGATGTTAAGTTCTGGGTTTAGTAAATCTGAAGAAGATTCTTCTGAATCTGAAGAATCTGAAGAATTTCTTATCTATCAATGGGAATATAAAGGAGAAACACCGTGCAAGTAGTACCTTACCCAGCCCCCGTCTCTAAATAAGAGAAAATTTAATTTGATATACCCTCAGACATAGGTGTCTTAATAAGCATTCCAGTCATCAGCTCAGACAGAGTAAAAAGGAAAACTTATGTATCCGTTGTAAGAATCTGATCATACATGTTACATAGGAAATATCTTTAAAATCTTCTTCACAAGAACAACCAAGCCATTATTAGTCATATTTATACAAAAGCAACCTTAGGTATTGTAGATTCAAGTTTGTTCAAACTATGACCCCCTGGGGTTTGGGGGCACAACAGAGGGTCAAAGTTTTGCATAAGAATATATAGAAATCATCTTCAAAAAGTCTTCTGTTGCTCTTCTGTTGGTTAGGGCTATTCAATTTCGTCATTATTTCGGTGTTTACATCCATATGATATTAAATGGACACAGTTGCATTGCCGTTTTGTTTACAAATTTAAATTTCTATTTTTATTTAAAAAAAAAAAAAAACTTAATTCAATGAATAGAAATACCTTGATATTTCTTGAAATTCAAAGACAAAAACATTTTTCATAACATCACGTTAAACAACTCTGTTATGAAAGATGGGTACGGGCTCTGTTATTGTTAATATTTACGTTTTATTGGGTGTGTTCAATTTGTTTACTATGTACACATCACTAAGCACGGACAGGCAATGATGTTGAGATGGTTTTACTTTCTAACCTTTCTACTCTGAATTTTCTGGATTATAGATTTAATATTTTCATAAATACACAAGAAATTTTCGATTTTTCTTAAATATTAAGGGTAAAATTTATTTTATGAAAGTTAAACGAATTGTGTCAATCAAAAGCGTCCCGAAATTCGTAGTTTTAAAAACTTCTATTTCAAAAAAATGTTAACATTATTCCTTTTTTCATTCAAATTATATTAGCTAAGTCGATTCTTTTAATGTTGCAATACGATTACACTTATTTTCATGAAGTTTTGATTCTCGTTATTTTCTTGGTATGAAGAGACCCACGAATTCATGTCCTCCACATAATGTTAAATTTAAATAAAATCTCTATACTCTATAACCACACAAAAAAATCCCATTATCATATATATTTCCCTACTTTGTCTGATTCGAGTAAAACCTGATATATATCTGCTTTCAGATTCTAATTAAAGTAAGTAGTGTTGCTGCTGTACAGTTGAATAAACTCGAAAAATATATGTATATATCTAACTGAAAATTCTTCAAACAATTTAAAATTAAAAATTTCATTTAGAAGACCGACATTTAAAAAAGCAACAATCTCACCGCAGACCTCTGGTATGCTAGCTGATACAGCTGATTTACAGATAGTTCAACATAATGATTATAATATACTCCCAAATTAGTATCAAGCCTGCCTAACGTGGATTTTTAACAGCTGCACTCATGGTAAATTTCACCAACTCTATAAATATCATTGACGAATTTAGATGTCCCATCCATTGCTCCACAACTAAAAGCTTTAGGATCCACCTCGGTGAATGAAGGACAGATTATCACACTACGCTGTAACTTGCCTACACTGGGGAACCCTCCTGTCACATGGAGCTGGAATTGTGGTGATGACACATTAACTACTGAAGGAGTGAACAATACAGGAACCCAAACTGATTTTACATTGACAGTAAACCGGAAGTACAACCAGAGGACTTGTCACTGTAGAGCCAGATCTACAAGACCATCATTGACCTATGACCAGATATCAGACAAACAGAGCATCACTGTATTCTGTAAGTACAATTATACCCTAACATCTTCTGATGGTAGTATTCTGTAAAAGTTAAAATAGAGATATAGAGTCTTCTTATATTTTGTGTTGTAAATTCTTTCCTTTCTTACAATTTTTCCGACGTATTAATTGATTTTATCATAATTTAAACAAGTATGATAGGAATTGTTGTTGAACGCATCTTTTGACATAAAACACACAAAACTAGACTTATTTCATGATTAATTGCAAACCTGAGATTGTTGTTCATATTTTGGAACACAACTGGGCGTATGACCTTAAAACATTAACTGACAAGTTGGGAAAGATGCAGCTTACATCATTTCAAATGTTCCAGTCAAAAGACTTGATCTCAAAGCAGACGTCTGTTAAAAAAAACAACAACATTGGAATGAAATTCTTAATTGTTGGAAGTTCATTTTCAATCCATCTAAGCTATTCTACTACGCATAGGGTTAAGATTAATCAAGAAGACAGAATTTTATTTTCCGAATACTGTGAATCAATATCCTAGATCTGAATTTTCTATCTAATGGTTGTAAAGACGAATAATGACCACCATAGAAAAATGACCGGGGGTCATCGAAAAATGACCCCCTAGCTGCAGAAAAATTTAGTTTTTTGTAGAAAAAGAACCCTAGGGGTCGGTTTTTTATATGTGCAACCTATAAGAAATTGACCCCCGTTGAAAAATGACCCCATCCCAACAGAGTGATAGAAAGTTCAAAAGAGATGATTGTTGCCAAGGTTTGGATCTCAATGGGTAATTCTCTAGCGTTTTTCTGATTAATACTGGACGAACACACAGGTGTGTTAAGGAAGCACTAAGATAATCTGACTTGACTAAATCAGTGATACCATATGACGTCATAGTAGGCGATATGACGTCAATTTTTTAACACAAGTTCTCTAAATACTGTTATTTAGAGATATAATTTAACTCCTGAATTTGAATAGAAGCTTGCAAATATTAACAAAAATAAAATGTTTTTATTTTGTTATGCTGTATCTGTCACTTGAATTAAAAACTCAGAAAAACATCACCTGTTTGAAAAGGTGATATCATTCATTCAAATTGAATAGGTGATATCACCTATTCGAATACGTTATATTCCTTATTCGAAGAGGTGATATCACCTTTTCGAAAAGGTGATATCACCTTTTCGAATTGGTGATATCACCTATTGGAACTATTGGAAATGAAGAGGTAATATCACCTATCGAAATTAGTGATATCACCTATTTGAGTTGAATTGGTGAGATAACCTATTTGAATTTAAATTTTAGTGATATCACCTAATTTGCATTTATTATAACATTAAAAATGAATGTTCCCTTCCTCAAGTCAATCTAGCTTGAATGCAAAGTAAAGGATGAACTTTCAAAAGGCTTTCAAAGAGCAATTTTATTTCCTTAGAAGTGATTCAAAATTGATGAAATTGATTTCATTACTCTTGCACAAACTTTTAATAAAGTTGCATTGAAATTACTGTACTTAATTTGAGCCATGCCCTCTACTATGTCGGCATTAAATTGATCAAATAAACTATAGATTCTCTGTACGATCAATTTTTTTTGGCACAAAGAGGAGAGGAGGCACTGTTTTTAAGTTACAATGTATATGTAAATAAGGCCATACAATAACCTGGTTCGCATATGAAAAAGCTAGATTTCTATTGACCATAAGCAAATTTGGGCTGCCCTATCCACCTGTGTTATAGTCAAAGACGTTTAAAACGCCATTTGTTGTCATTCCTGTGAAGCTATATAAATTTCACTTGCCGACAGTTTTGCTATATTTATTTATACTTTCTCTCTGTTATAATTATCTGTGTGAAAAGAGGCTAATATTTTACTTCCTGTATAGAGTAAATGTATGCACTATAGTCTTGGGAGCAGTTGTTATTTTATGTTTAATTTGAATAAGTGATATCACCTATTCAAATACGGGATATCGCAAATTCAAAAGCTGAATAGGTGATATCACGAATTCGAATAAGTGATATCACCAATTCGAATAGGTGATAAACCAATTGAATAGGTGATATCACCCATTCGAAAAGGCGATGAAATATGGAGATAACGAACAGTATTCAAGCTCAAAGTCCATTAAAACAATGCAAATCGGGAGCAGAGCAAACACGGACCTCCCCAAAAAAAAAGAGGTGGGATCAGGTGCCATGGAGGAGTGAGCATCCCCTTTAGACCGGTCACACTCGCCGTGTGTTCCTTGTCATGATCGGTAAATAACGGAAAAATCCGTCGACAATTCAGTGTTTTAATCACTTAATGGCGGTAATGGCTATATCACTTAATGGCGGTAAATACCAAAACGGTTCCTCATACTAATTCTTGCAATAGCATACATTCTAGTGTTGATCCTTTTTATCGTTTTTTTTTCTTCATACTTTGCTATTTTACTGATTATAGACGTTTATGGCCAATTAACAAACGGCTTGACTTTAGAAGTCTCTAAAACAACAAGTAGTTCTTAGTAGTTCTTTTTGTTTAAAAAATTGTACGGCACTTTTGCTATATGCCCGAAAATTACATGTATGTACACTATTTAAATCATTGGCTTAAGAAAGGCATTCGGACGCAACTTAATTAACCGGTAGATAGACATTGTAAACATCTCTCTCTCTCTCTCTCTCTCTCTCTCGATCCTCGATAGTATAAGCGAAAATAAAACGATATTTTTTTTAAAACAGTGATACATAAGTCAATCAGAGTGAAAGCATTTCCACATAGTGAACATTGTCAATTCATTTTAAAAGACAGTTGAAAGATTTAATGAGAACAACAGAGAATCCTTATATCTTCAATTTATCTCAGGTGAGCATTTTGATCCATGGACCTCTTGATTTATTAGTTCTTAATTTTTTTAATCCAAAAAAATATAGTACTAATAAAATTTACCAAGGGTCATTATTCTATGGGGTCATTTTTCTTTGCGTAGATTATGCAGATTATAAGGGTGATGCCACTTTTTCTACGGGCAAAAGGGTCATTTTTCGACGTCGAATAATGATCGGGGGTCATTTTTCGACGTCGAATAACGACCTGGAGTCATTTTTCAACGTCGAAAAATGACCTCCGGTCATTATTCTACGTGAGTCATTATTCATCTTTACACCGGCATATTTCATGAAGTGTGTTAGCGCTTCATGATAAATATACCAGCGTGAAGCGTTGTGGTTCATGTACCTCATGAATTTTCAAAAATGAAATTCATTTCTTATATTTATATTATTTTTTGTGCTGAGTTGCCATAAATTACGCCATTCAACTGTCAGTTTTAAAGCAAAACGTTTTGCACTATAGTTTTGACGTCAAGAAGGATATTATGACGTAACAATTGAGATATTCATGCTCATTCATGGTAGTTCATGAGAAAATGAAATGTTTTCTATTTTGCAAAGAATCATAGGGAAAATTATTCGAAATGAAATCTAAGCACATATAGGACTAATCATTGTCATGGACTTCTTTATAAGAAGACTGTTAAGATTCATTTTTTATATTTTTTTCTCCCATTGTGACTTTACCCTACACCTTGAGCAATTTTGAATCTGCACTACCAGAGGTTGTTTGCATATTTATATTACTTATGGTTTGCTCTTGTTGAGAAGATTTCATTCCTTCATATTCCTTTGCAACATTTTGATCCTCTACGGTTGCTCCGACAATCTCTAGGGACCATGATTTGAAGAAATTCAAATCTGAACTACCAGAGGATGCTTGTATATAAATAGGAGTAATCATGATCATGACCTGCTGTTTTTAAAAAAGCTTTTAAAAATGTTCCTATATATCCCCATGCTGTTGTACAGTTGAATAAATTCGGTAAATACCCTTAATTGTACAACTTTAATCATCATATCGAAATGTTGTTCCGTTCGTTTTGTAAAAAATGAAAATGAAGTGTTACATATTAAAATTAATAACAAAAGAAATATATGAATATGTCGAACGGTATTTTAATTTCTTCAACTACATTGTATTTAAAATCCAAAACTTCATTTACAAGGCTAGCATTTAAAAGAGGAACAATCTCATCGACGACATCTGTAATCTGTAATCTGTAATGCTAGCTGATACAGCTGATTTACATTGTACTGAAAAATAATGAATATAATGTACTCAGACTTTAATATCAAACATGCCAAACTTGGTTTTTAAACAACTGTACGCATGGAAAATTTCACGAACTCTATAAATATCATTGACGAATTTAGATGTCCCATCCTTTGCTCCACAACTAAAGGCTTTAGGATCCACCGCGGTGAATGAACGACAGAATATCACACTACGCTGTAACTTGCCTACACTGGGGAACCCTCCTGTCGCATGGCGCTGGAATTGTGGTGATGACACTTTTACTACTGAAGGAGTGAACAATACAGGAACCCAAACTGATTTGACATTGACAGTAAACCGGAAGTACAACCAGAGGACATGTCACTGTAGAGCAAGAACTACAAGACCATCATTGTCCTATGATCAGATATCAAACAAACAGAGTATTGCAGTATTCTGTAAGTACAATTACACCTAACCATCTTCTGTAAAAGTTAAAATATAGAGTCTTTATATTTTGTTTTGTAAAATACTTCTTTTCTTACAGAAAGTCACATGTATCAATAATGTTTGACAATAAATGTGTTTTGACCTGCTGTTTTTAAGGACGTATAAAGATTTTATCTTTTATATTCCCATGCTGTTGTACAGTTGAATAAATGTGATAAATATCCATAATTATTACATTACATTAAAACGCCTAGACATCATATAATTGTTGTTTCCATCTGTTTGATTAAAAACATCAACTGTTACATTTTTAAACTACCTGAATGAGTTAGTATGACACGAACGCATCCGCTGGTGGAAGCTTAAAATATGTGAAAGTCCAAGAGTATGAAAATACGTACCGGTAGAAATGGCACAAAACTAAGATATAATATTGCTGCTTGTGTTTTCCGGAATAAGTTTTCTATAAAACAACATACTTAAGGTGCATGAAAATTGTGATCACTAACAAGGAAAGTAAAGAAAAAAAATAACACGTCCCGAAAAGAGTAAATGATAAGAAATTTTCAAAGTATATGGACCACAAGTTTCGTAAAAATATGACAATCCACAGGAATCTTAAAAGCCTAAACTGGATCTGTACGTCATCAATATCAAGAGATCTACCAAAAAAGGTGTACAGCTCATTAAATGCACAGCAGAAAAGTCCATTAAACGGTAATTTATTGATATTTTCCAAGTTTAAATACTATAACTTTCCTAAAAATGGGTCATTGAACAAAATCTTTCATGTAAGACATTAATATAAATAGACACAGACAGAGATATAAAGATACCAAATATTAGCTAATTATCTACAAGTGCATATGTACAGCAAAAAATAATACTCTATCAGAAAATCGTCCGAGTAACCGATTGACAAATATTGATCGATTTGACATTCCTATAAAAAGTCTTGAAAATATAGTGAATTAATAGAATGTTTTAAAGTCCAAGGGCCATAACTCATAATAATGGGTCCATCAACATAAAAATTAAACTTGATCTGTAATTTATCAATATCAAGAAAACTCACCAGAAATCAGCTCATTATCTTCATTCATAGGGAAAAAAAGTCTGAAAAAATAATCATGACGGAATGATAGAATTGTAGAACGACGGAATGATGGACGGAAAGGGGTAAAACTATATACCCCGGCCAGTTCATCGGGCATAATAACAAAAGAAATAGATGTATATGTCCAACTGTACCTTGATTTCATCAAACTATTTCAACCCCTTTTATTTACAAAACCAACATTTAAAGAGCAACGGTCTAATCGGACATCTCTGATACATGTATATTGTACCTATTTGAATCATAGCCTGTGCAGCTAACGTATTCCTAAATGTACTCCGTAAAATAATATCAAACCTGTGAGTCTTTGGCTTTATATAAACCAGTGCAAATATGGTTAATTTCGTCAACTCTATAAATGTAATTATTTACATTTGCAAATATTTTTATTAGATGAACCTATTGAAGAGAAAAAACGTTCAATTCTGTATGAACTTATTAGGGGGTCAGAGGTCATGGCGTGACCGAATCACACAGCGAGATGATATCTTGTCTACATATTTGTGTCACGGTGACACTGGTTTCGGAACTTCTAAGCCGTTAAAGCAATGTAAAAGATAAAATTATTGAAACATTTATGTTTTTCTTGGTTCAACAAAGGATCATTAGTTCTTTCTTCGGTGTGAAGAATGTTTTTAATTAGCCTAAAATCACGATTACCATTTTAACCCGAAATTCCTTTGAAGTTATGTAAACTGAAGACGATAGCACCGCTTTTGATTTCATATATTAAGAAATCATACAATAATAGTAAGATTATTCTCAGTAGCGATCATGGATTTTTCATTTTGAACAGATATTTCCTTCTTCTGAGAAGCCCTTCGGGCTTCACAGGATTTGATCACGTGACCAACCAAGTTCATTTCCCAGAGAACTTTTTAACATTGTTGTTTATTTCTTTATTGATGGATTTAGATGTCCCCACCAGTCCTCCACAACTAAAAGCTTTAGGATCTACCGCGGTGAATGAACGACAGAATATCACACTACGCTGTAACTTGCCTACACTGGGGAACCCTCCTGTCGTATGGAGCTGGAATTGTGGTGATGACACTTTTACTACTGAAGGAGTGAACAATACAGGAACCCAAACTGATTTGACATTGACAGTAAACCGGAAGTACAACCAGAGGACATGTCACTGTAGAGCAAGAACTACAAGACCATCATTGTCCTATGACCAGATATCAAACAAACAGAGTATTGCTGTATTCTGTAAGTGTAATAACTTATATGATAAAATCCACATTTTTAGCAAGAATTGTCTCTTCATACTGTATGATAATAACGTAAAACATGCACAGATTACACCGATGTTGTACATGTAACTTATTAGAAAGCAGAACAATGTACATTTACCATATAAAGTTTTGCTTAAGTCATCCTTTAACATAAATTTTCTCTAGCTGAACTGTGTTCTGAATGCCTCTTAATTCGATAATTTCATTTTGGATGTCAAAGTTGAGATTGTTGGTTCGACTGGCCAATGGCCAGACGAGCTTATGCTATAGTAGGACGTCTATTGTCTGTATGTTTGTCTGTGAACATTTTCTTTCAAATGCTACTACTCCTACAGTTTTTATCCGCTTTTTGCATGTGTTACTCTGTGTATCTTTATTTTATTTCGAAAACGGTGTTGCCATGGTTACTTAAACATCAAAATAAAATTCTTTCAAAATGGTACCCATTTTACACTCAATACATTGTTGTACTTAGGTAGATTTCTCTTTGTTACAACATTTTGGCATCAGATTTTATTTTGACTAACGGTGTTAACATATTTATTGAATTAGAAGTTTCTTCGAAAGTTTTCAAAATGATAAATCTTTCCTTCAACACCTTTACTATGATTTCAATAAAAGTAAGACTACTCGTATGCTGCACTATAGTTTGCATTAAGATTTCGATTAACAATGTTGTAGGGATTATTAAAAGTAGAATCATACCTCAGATTTTGTCAAAGTGCTACACCTCCTGCAGTTGATGTATGAGTTTAATAAAATCACAAGTATGCTAAACTAAACCAGAAGAGGCCTGCTTGGTGGTTAGAGCGTTTACTCTAAAGTCGCGGTTTAAAGAGTTGATCTTTACGTCGTGGGTCCGAATCCATTAAATTCTCCAAACAACCAAGCAACTAAACCACCTAAGCCAGATATTTCAGTTATATGTATGTCCATAGCTACTATATTTTTATATGTTTGTATATCTTTCTTGATTGTTTACATTTCTTAGAAATGTAAACAATTAAGAAAGATGTCATCGTTTGTTCTTATCATTTAATCATAAAATTATATAATAAAACATTTATTGCTGTCAATAAGATGAAGTACTATATTTTAATTGAACTCACCTTTTTAAATGCAGCATATAAAACTATACTCGGAGCATGTTCTTTGTTTCATGATTCGTGGTAATCAAATGTATTGAAAACATAAACTGGTGTAAAATGTTCTACTGATGAGAGGATAATGGAAAGAAATTAGCAATTAAATGGTTAACTGGGCTATCAAAATGCTTATTGCGTAATATAAAATGTTTAATGTAGTTGATAAATAGAGAATAATCCATGGAATAATTAATCAAATACAGCCTGTCTTCTTGCAAGGACAACGAACTCAAATGACCTAATACAAAGCTACTGTCTTCAAATATAAGCGATATTTGGGCTAGGGTAAGAAAACGTGATAGAGGCCGAGCCCTCCATCATTTTCGACCCGAGCCCAAATATCGCTTATATTTCAAGACGGTATCCACGTATTTTGTTTATCCTGCATCAGACCTCAAAAATGAGCTATTTTAAACAGATTAAGATTCATCTCTTCAGTTGAAACTAAGACGCCACGGCATAAACATTGGAATGTGTATGACATCACAATGCTTTCAGAACGTCGGAATACATGCACGAGGCTTTATTAGGGCATTGACCGAATTAAGCTTTAGTTTATTTGATTTCCTTTATTAGGTCAATGCAAGGGGTAGTTGCAGGATAAAATGTATGTCTTATTTCTTAAAACGGCAACAAAGAACATGATGTAGGCTGTAACTATGGTTACATTTGAAGAAAATCTTGCTATAAATGTAAGAACAAAATTAAAATTAATTCTAATTTTTACATCTCAGGCTATAATTTAAAAGCGTAAACAGACCAAAAAGGCATAAATCATCATTAAGAAGAATTAACACATTAATAGTTTGCTTACTTGTACCTGGTTGTCATAGCAACGGTGTTTTGTGCCAGAATCTTTGCAAAGAAAACTATAAATTATTTCTGAAATTGTTACAAACGCAAAGATTTTCAGTATTTTATTTGTTATAATGAGACATTTAATAAGTTCCGTGACACAAAGGTGAAGTGATCATACATAAAAATATGGACTTTTCCATCTTTTTTCCATAGCTATATATATTGGTTCCTTTCTTGAAGTCAATATGTACTCTTAATAATATAAATTTATGAAAATAATAAAATGATATATTACTTGATGATGACAGCTGCATATTAGGACAAAAAACCCCATTTCCATAAGAAAAATAAAATTGTTTGATTATTAAATCTTCAACAAGTCTAAAACTGTATTATCTATCATTTGTATGTATTATCATTTGTATCTTTAAAAAAATACTATAGTTTACGATAGTGATAACTTTGACTCTACGAAAACTATAGCTAAATAAATTGATAACTTTGACACTTTATTTTAGTGATAAATTTGAAAACATTGATAAACTATAGTGATCACTATGACACTATATTGATAACTATGAAAACTTTGATTTACTATATTGATCACTATGAAAATTTTGATTTACTATGGTGAAATTTTGGATTTACATTATTGATAACTTTGAAAACTTTGATTTACTATAGTGATAACTATGACACTATAGTGATCACTTTAAAAACTTTGATTTACTATAGTAATAACTTTGAAAACTTTGATTTGCCATAGTGATAACTATGACACTATACTGATCACTTTGAAAACTTTGATTTACTATAATAGTGATAACATTGACACTTTGATTTACTATAGTTAACCATAGTAAACTATAGTTAACTATAGTATTTTTTTTCAGGGTAGGTACGATCAAAAGATCTGGGAAAAAAAATCACTGAAACCCACACTGTAAAAATGTTCTTTTTTTTTTTTTACTTTTTTTTTTAATCACAATTAACTAAACTCCCATGATATTTAAGGTAAATATGAATTATAAAGTCTTAATCATTGTTTCAATGTTCCAAATTATGTTCCACTTTGCCGCATTATTATGCAAAAAGATTTCCAATTTTATTTTTCTAGAATTTGTGTTTCTTCCAACTTTGAGACTTATTGCCACCATAACCATTAATCTACAGCATCAATATCAATTTATTTTTGAAGTAAGCCTTTGTGATATGTATAATTTAAAGGGAATCTGTGACCATGCGTAACACATCCCATATGAACATGTAAAAACGCAAATCATCATATATTTACAGATTAGTCTTACTGATATTATAATAACTATACTATCGTTATGATGAACTGAGGGTCATGTGAGGAAAATTTGAAGTTCTACGTCATAAAAACTGCTAAAGCTATAAAGTTATGACGCAGTTAAATTGATCTCACCAAATTGTATCAGTGATAAAATTTAGTAAAAATGTCTTGTATTGATGTAAGCCCCTTAGTTTGATTTTTTTGTCTTATTCTGTTTCGCAGATGTTCCAGTTACTGATCCGGAACTGAATGCTTCGATTTCTACATCAGTGGAGGAGGGACGGTCCATTCAGTTACTCTGTAAGCTGCAAACAATGGGTAACCCTCCTATTGTGTGGAGCTGGGTTTGCGGGAATGTCACACAGACCGATGGAGTTATCAACACAGGAACTCAGTCCGTGTTAACATTGCCTGCAAGCAAGAGAAACAACAAATTGATTTGCCAGTGTAGGGCCAGAAGTCCTAGACTCTCATTATCATACGACAGAATGTCAAAGATGCAAAGATTATCTGTATTCTGTGGGTATAACATTTGCACAAGACAAAAATATTTCTTACAACTTATACATTTTTGAAAATAGTTCTTGTTTATGAACAATTCTTTCTTAAAGCACGAAAATTTTATTGATAAAGGAATTTAGATGCTCATGAAATGAATGTTATCTGTAAGTCCATGCATAATTGCAAAATATCTTTGAAATATCTTAATACTGGTAAAAAAATCTCTTTATTCTTTTTATGCAGTTATCATAATGTAAAACAAAGTAAGTTGGAAAAAAATATATTGCTTTAAGTATTGTCTATCTTCAATAGACAATTTATTTGTATGATTTGAGATGAATAATTATTTTCATATATTTTTTTAATATGCGATAACGTCATGTCTTTCCATGGCAGAAGTTACTTACGTCTACATAAAGTTGCTGAAATACAATATCCATATTTATATGTGAGTTTGAATTAAAAGAAACTATACCCTTAGATATTTCAGATGTTCAGATCATGCCCGGCAGTAGCCTAAGTATAGTGGCTGGAGAGAAGCTGACATTGATAAGCTGTTATGTTGAGAGTGCAAACCCAGAAGACATTCTTACCTACAAATGGATGAAAGATGATGGTTTCAATACTACTTTGGTTTCTACAAGTCAATTTTACTTGATTGAACTTGCCAAAGTTGAAGACAGTGGTAGATATGTGTGTACAGCCCGTTCGTCCATGAGGAACGCTAGTGGTATTATTGATGTTAATGTACAAAGTAGGTTTCCCCGATTTTTGGACTGAAACATCAAAATGTTTTATATTGTACTTATCAGCATGATAAAAAGAAAATTTAATTTATTTTGATATTAAACAACAGGTCGATGATAATATAAGGATTAAACAACCAAGAGAAATATTTATCTAGTGAGGCCAAGCCAGTGTCGCATTCATGTTTCGATTGACAAATCTTTATATCACCCTAATTCAAAGTCATTAATTGTTTTATTATATGGCTTTTTTCATAAATAACTATTTATGTACATTGTACAATATATACCTCTAACATACTGATAAACAGTCAAAGTTTTTTGAACGTGTCCAAAACATGTCAACAGTGCATGTAGACTACAAGTAACTGAGAAGGAAGGAAGCGCTTGAGGGCGTTGTAATATTTTAATATCCTTTAGACCAATTGTCAGCTACTTTCGATTGCCTATTCAATTTTATCGCCAAAAATCGTCCTGATTTCAAGTATTAGAAATGCTTAAACTTTGGTCGGATAATAACATGCTTTATTGAAATGTTATTGTTGTTTGCATCATCTAAAGGGCATTGCTTATAAAGTTTCATTTTAAATACTACTACTGTAAAAAAAGAAAAATGTTGCAATTTTGTTGTACAATTCAATTATGTACAACAATAATGTATTTTTTATACTGGTATCTTATTCTCATTGTTTAAAAGTAAATGCTTATGAATTTCAGGAAAACCCCTTCCTCCAACGATCATACAGGTTGTTTGTAAAACCAGATATGCTTACGTTTCAATGGTTTCGTCTTATCTCGGTATACAAGGAAGTGAGATTTTGCAGTACAGCGAAATGGATAACTTATTTGAAAATGCAACTTTAGAAGTAATGAATAAAACACATCGTGACATTATTATCTACAAGGTTTTGAGTTTGATGCCCGGAAAAGAATACAAATTTAGAATCCTGGCATTTAATCTTTATGGTATTACTGAATCAAAAAGTCAGAAGTGCTCAACGGACAGAGATGCAGAAACAGGTATTTTTTTTATCCTTCTTTCTAAAACTTATAACATAGTAAACATAAAACAGATGGAATAAACAATGAACGTAACATAACAATGGAACAAGTAATTAACACAGTATAACATATAGAAAAAGTAATCAATATAGTATATTGAAATATAACGATAACAAACAGTATTTAAGCTCAAAAATCCTTTGAAGATTATTAAGGATTTGTAGAAGAGCAAACACGGAACTCTAAAACATCAGAGGTTGGATCAGGTGCCATGTAGAAGTAAGCATCCCCTGTCGACCAGTTACACTTACCTGTGCTCTTGTCAAAACGAATGGAACCGTCACGGTAGCTCAGTCGGTTGAGCGGGATTCAATACCCCCCCCCCTCCACCCTCGCCCCGGCAACTGACCTAAGTCGATAAAAAATAGGTAGCAACTGTCTTTTCCTTGCGCTCCCCACTTTGAGGTGAAAGTTGCCGTTCTTTCTAATGAGACCTTAAAAAAGAGACCCCGTGTCAAAGCAGGAGTCGGAACTATCATGACTATAAAGATCCCTCTCTGTTCACTGGCACTGAGTGCCGAGTAAAGGTCTAAATTTGAAGTCCATCGCCGGTATATGGTGACGTCTCTGACTATATGCATGAAAAATTCTTCAGTGGGACTAAAAACAACAATCAATCAATCAAAACAAATGGAAAAAGTAATGAACATACAAAACATAGAAAAAGTGATCAATACAGTATAACAAATGGAATGAGTAATCAACATAGGATAACACAAGGACTAAGTAGTCAACATACTTAAGCAAATTGTTCGAGTAATTCACAGAGGAACATTTACATTTGCTGTTCTTTTTTTACGAAACCAACTGTGAAATCGATTTGAAAGACATTTTTGTGTATACTCACGAGTAAAAATATACACGGAGAAACTCGCGCTAAAGTGACGTCACAATGAGGCTACATATACGTTAATAAAAATTTGACGATAAGGGCAGCGAGAAATTCAAACATTGAGTATATTTTTGGTGCATTTAAGCATGTAAAATGTAAATATAAGGAATATTTTAAGCGCGCTTCATGAAAATGACTACGTGACAAGTTTGTGTGATTTACACACCAATAACTCACACAGAACTTAAAAACATTCCTTAATTACAAACGAAACAAGTAATCAACACAGGATTGCAAATAAAATAGGTCTTTTTGATTGTTTAATGTCCCTTCAAGAATTTTTCACTCATATTGAGACCCCACCACTTCCCAGTTGTGGGCTACAAGTTTAGACCTGGCCCCGATCATGAAATATCTTAATCTGAAGTCAAAATCTGTTTATTGTGCTGAAATCTTTTGAAGTCTAACAGTTCAAAATAAAAAAAAAATATGTTATTCAGCACTGCGTCATCTAGCTGCTATTGAATGTAATTTAAGAATTTCAGTTCACAAGTTATAGCCATCTTGAAAATGTTTGAAATTTCGACTTCAGTCTAACTTTTATGATCCTGGGGCCTGTTCTTGGCATTTAACGGTCTTTGAGCATTGAGGGATCTTTTTCGTGCCAGTATATACTGCGACACAGAACCTCAGTTTATATGGTCTTATCCGAAGGACTCTCCACGTTCCGCAGTGGGATTCGAACTACGCAGGACTGTTAAGGCGTACTACGAAGAAATCAACGGAATATAAAGGTGCATAAATATATCCCATTTTAAACTGAATTTATTTTTGTAAAGCTACTATATTATCACATGACTTTAATTTCAATTAAATAACATAGTATACCCCGCTCTGTACAGAATTTGGTTTGGTCACTTTATTTGGCAGTCACGTGATAAATGCGTGTAATGTGTACTGTATGTAGGTCATTAACAAATTTCAACATCGCAAGGGCATATCCTAGTTAGAATTAAAAATTTCAGTAATAAATTGTATCTATATAACTTGTAGTTTATGAAAAGTGCTGCTGCTTTAAATAGAATTCGTATTTTATTAGTTTAAATTTCAAGTTATTAGGCTCTAGTCGAAATATGTGTGACCTTTACAATGTATTTTATTTATTTATTAAGTAATGCTTTCGATTTCAGGAAAGCAGCAGCACTTTTCAAGTTAAGGAATGTTTCCGTTATGCATATTTAAAAAATGGTCAAGATCTATTAAGTGTATGCCCTTGCGAAAAGACGATTTAATGAGGCACCTCGGCGTGAAACATGCACCCAGTACACAAAAACACGGTAGAATTAATTCAATACATTCTCTCGATAGTTTTTAAATAATGACACTAAACAAAGGTTTGAGATTTGTATTAATGGTCTACCTAAGATTTGCAAATAATATTCTGTTTAATAATAAAATGCGTTTTTCACTGTGGTTAAATTACTTGATCCGCCTCTCACTGCACATAAAATGCGTCAAATTTTACCATGATGACGTCATGTCGACAAGTGCATTGCGATCAGTGACTTGTTTATATCTTGCTGTGAGGGATTTAACTAGCGACAAAAATGAATGCAGTGGTAAGTGTTGATGTAGTTCATCACTCTTATGCAGTTTAAAACCGCAAATTATTTCATTTTCTGTTGTTATGTGGAATTGCTATATTTGTGTAATGTCACAGTAGACATTTCCCGTATAAATTAGGCCCCGCCCCCTTTATGCAGCCTTAACAGAGCTGCGTAGCGATATAAAGATTATCTCCTTACTTTGCGACTCAAGAGCACTTAGCCGAACAAATGATCTACGTAGTATAAGAAATGAAGCAAGTAATCAACAATGCATAACACAGTACAAGTAATCTACATAGTGTAACACGTAGAATAAGTAATCAGTATACTTAACACAAGTACCAAATTGTAATCAACACTGTTTAACAAATGCTACACGAAATCAGCACCTGTACAGTACCGTATTACGAATGATAAAAGAAATCATCATTGTATAACAGCAAGTACAAATTATCAACATAGTGGTTCCATAGAGATGCAACAAGTAATTAATCATGGACTTAATTATGGCAGAAAGACGAGAAAGCTGTGAAATAGAGCCGATAATTGGAGGCACACTGGGAGGCTTTGTATTTATAATTATTCTGCTTCTTGTTGCCATCATACTGTACAAAATTAGGAAACGATTGATAAATTGGAAACGATGGATAAATAAAGGTTTGCATCTGGTTTCTTATCAAAGATTGAAATATCGATAGCATTTTCGTGTTTAGCCATTTTATATTATAACATTACATTATTTACTAACTGTTGTAATTAATATATTAATTTGTTAAAAAAAAGATGTTCAGGTGAGAATATAGATACAAATTCATGTATTTGTATATAGCAGCTTAATGCTCTGCGTAATGTTCGGATTCATTTTAGGCAAAAGTGATACCACTAGCAGGTAATTTTGATTTAATATTTTCAATTATCATATAAAAGACGTACATTTTTTGTAACAAAGAATAAGAAAGGTGCCGTATAATTTAATGGAATGTAAAAACATGTATGCCTGATTACAATTAAATTAATATGCACGTCTTTTGAATAAAAAAAGACAACTTTCTGGCACTTACGTTGATCAAACTTTACCCAGTGAAGATCACCATTATCAAGGATTTTCTACTACTATTTGCAAAGGTAACGTTTTTCAGTTTTCTACATAAATAAACATATACACAACCTCTGTAATTTGTAAACCTATATTTGCGATGATAACCACTACCAATTTAAAATCAGCAGAAGTAGGCTAAAAGCATTATAATATCAGCAAAGATAACGTCCAACAATCTTCTACCAATATCACCAATGGTAAACGATATATTTTTTTCTACCCATATCGACAAGCATAACTTTTATCAATTTTCAAGCAATGTCAGCAAAGTAACTTCTACAAATTTCCTTTCTGTATCAATGTCAACAAACGTGACCTCTAATATTCTACTAATTGCAGAAAAAGTAACAACTAATTTTTTAACAAATATTAGCAAAGGAAACATATTTAACAGGGCGTGAAGTTTTTCGATTGTTTTATATGACTAAAAAGATTAAACGTACACACATTTAGTTGCAAAATATTATGTCAATATATTTGCAGTGTATAAGAGGATGTCTTTTGTTTAATTTTTTTCATTTTTTCGTTTTAAGATGCAGTGAACACAAATGCTTACGAAAAGATTCAAGGTATATAAAACTGAAATTTATTATAATAAAAAATAGGTTTATTATATGCATAATTTACATTTAAAGATAATTGATTGATTCATTCAGTAGTATTTTCTTTTTTTTAACAGAGTGTTTTGAGAAAGATAAAAGGTAAAACCTTAAGCATAAATTAGATATGAAAAAAAAAATGACAATTTATGACAAACTTTCTTAAAATTAAAGTGGTTTTTATTTAACAGTATTTTCTTATAGATCTGATTATATGGAATTAACACAGTCATGTATACGAAAAGAACAGGGCACGTACAAAAGAGGAAAAACGGGTAGTTTGTTACAGAAACATTTTTCTGACATTTTTTACATGTATCTAGACAAAGGAATTTTGTTTTACCAAGAGGTAATCTAAATCTCTTGCACTTATTTATAGGACAATGCACTTATCTATGATGACCCATAGAAAACATTATGATCTTATTATTATTATCTATTTAATGATATTTTTTTATATACCAATACATAGATTAAGCATCAACTTTTTCCGTAATCTTTTTAAGAGAACATTAAATATTGATGGAAATCTGATTTTCAATTTTAAGATTTCCTTTTTGTTTTATTTTCAGGTGGAATATACGCTAACGTTAAGTAGGATAACTGAAAGAAATTCAAAATATTTAAACAATCTGAGTACAGTTTTTTTGAATTAAAAAACATAATGACTATGACATACTTAAATTAAGGGAAAATAAATAACTGTCAACGCAGTAATGTTAAGGCTTCCCGAAGCTTTAAATACGTTAAAAAAATAACACTGCATTGCAAGGTCGGTTTTGCTTTTATTTGTAAGTTATGTACTTAAGTACGGCAAATTTATAAATAGAGTTCCCTTTGCTATTTGTAAACATATTTGTTAAGATATCACATGACTTCGCTGATCACATGACGGTCATTTATAATTTTTTGAGTGTTTCACATTAATCGCTTTGGCGCAGCTGATTAACACAATTATCATTAACTCTTTGTCATATAAATAAATTTGTCGTATCTTTGTGAACCCGAAATGTGTTTGGGAAAAGTTTCACTATTACCTGGGTACAAAATATTTCACAATGAATTCAACTTACCGACATATTTGAGGGTACGATATTGAGTTTAGGGCACTCAATATCGTCATCTGTATTAAACCAGAGCCATCACATATTTTTTTCCAAGCAAGATTCAGTTAGAGGGTAAACTACTCTCACAGATTTCCACAAAAGATCTCTAATAAATCCTCATTAATCACCTGCGCCAGGCTCTTTTATACACATATAATAAATTCTATCTCTATCCACGGGTGTTAAAAAGGGTAAATGTCAAACGCATATTTTTCGTATATATTTTGAATACGCTGAATTTTAAACAAGAGTAATAAAACAAAGTATTTTAAAATATTCGGACATATAAGATTTAAAAATACGATTAGAACACGTTTATTTTAAAATAGCTTTCTGACATTTTATATGCAGATTGAAAATAAGGTGTAAATATTATGATACTCTCCCCATCATAACAGCTCAAGTTTGCAGTGACTTGACGATATTTCAATTATGGCGTCATACATTTGTAGTTCAGAGAAGTAAAGGCACAGAGTACACTCCGATATTCTACGGGAAGCCTTAACGTACCTGCGAATACTCATATTAGTATGGATCTTATTTTTAAAAAGATGGTTAGAAAGAGTTTTAACAACAAAAAAAAAAGTATTTGGTTCAGTATAGTTTCATAACAAATTTTGATTACGCTGAATCCGAAAAAAAAAATATGCTAACTATCTTGAAAATGGTTTTTATTAGGTAAAAATGGCGATTCAATAGGGCAAAAGCGTGAATTTCTCAAAATATTCATACTGCTCAATTCTAAGTTTCTGCATAAAATAATAAAAAAAAATTTTTACTTTTTGAAATTAATAAAATAATGGCTAGATATATAACCTAACCTTCTTAGACATTGTTGTTAACAACTAAGGTTTTTAATAATATTTTTTTTTCGATTTTTACTCCGAACCTATACCTAGTACCTTTGTCAACATGTTTCTTAGTATCAAAGGAAATTAATATTACACAACTATTGCTTGTTTTAAGGTCAATACAATGATTAATCTACCTGAAGAGTGCAGTATCCCCAAGCGAAATTGCGAGGATAATATTGTACTTCAATGGTTGCTAAATAATCGTATTGACTGGGAAAAGGCAACTATTGTCTTTATTATATGAATAAATAATACAATGACGTTTAGTGTACCTGTCATAGTTATTGTGTTCAATTGTTGAAGTCCTAGTCGAACGCAGTGAAAGTATGAGAGAAGCGGGATTACGGTAACAATAAACACTTGTATTAATTTACAATTTCTTGTCCTATTATTTTATTCCATGTAGAAAAAAATATTTGAATTTTATGTTCACCGGAAGGCCTGGTTCTGGTGGAAACAAAAAAAATCATTAGCGCCTACCAACATTTACATATCTCAATACCATTTCATTGCCTAGCACTGTGCTCGCCTTGTGTGTATATGAAAGGAATCTGAGACATAATTCTGAGCTCTTTGTTTTTTAAATAATATTAATGCATTATTGTCCTGCATGTAACATTTTCTAGAATATGCAGAGGTATCAAGTACTTAAAGGAACTTATTACTTAATAAAAATTTCAAACCGAAGTTCTGGTATGTCTTATCAAGCAATATAATATACTTAAAAGGATCATATTAATTAAATTAATTTCAAACATATTGCACTCTCGAAGATTTGATCTAGAGCGTGCCAAGTTAGCATTTCAGAACAGAAATCTTGTCCTTGTATTTCCGTGTACTCTTTACTTTTAATTTTCATCATCCTCATCATCAGCCCTCTGTTTACTCATATAAAATTTGCTTTAAAGTTAATGCACCTCCCTCTTCATTAAAAAAAACAACAACTTCAAATTCAAATTTAAATTAACATGTGTACAATTTCAACATTTCTCGCGGGGTAAAATTGGACTGAAATGACCTGTTAACTTGAAAGTTTCATAAAAGAATAATAGTCATTATTGTATTGAGTGTTATCTCTCTTATCGGATAGGGGGCCATGCTTCACTTCCCTATCAACAAAATGTGGAAGATATAGAGGATATACAGTGATTAGTATTGGATATGGAATTTATTTAACGAAACGAACATGATTTCGCTATTTTGACTCCTGCTTCGCCCTTGTAAAAACTTGAAATAAATTTTGCCTCACATGTGAAATAGATTTAATATCCAACTAAAAAATATTGATTTATCTTTTAATTATATTTCCTTTGTTTTCTTTTATTTCTCCCATCACCTATTACAACTTCCTTTCGTAAGGCAGAGGGTCGGCGTTATTGCTAAGAGGCTGTGATTGAAATTGTAAACAGGGATATTTTAACCAATGTAGAAAAACTTTGGCAGTTTAAGTTAGTGTCAGATGATATACTCATTCTCGCTATGTATAAGGAGTATATGTAATATTCTTCTTTAGGGGAAGGAAAATAGAGATTTGTCACATTTTTTTTTTATTTTTACAGTAAAAAATGAAACTTGCGAAAATATCACTTTTATTCAAAAGATAAATTACAATAGTTCAGCTTTGGTAAGGCATTGTAATAAGACAGAGGTCAAATAAGTTTATAGTTATCTAGTTTTGACATACTAATGTATAGCTCATATACATATGATCTTTGAGAAATGTACAATATCACCATAACGATTCAAAACTGTGTTTATTTAAAAAATCTTTCCCAAAAGTAATTTCAGTTAATTTAAAGTCGAGTTCCTAACGACATTTCCTTGTGTTCGTATCCGTTTATAATATTATTTATAGTTTGCAAAACGAATCAAGCAACTCATAAAAAATCTTTAGATAGTGCCTGTTAGAAAATATTGCAAAATCTATAGACAATCAAAAAAAAAAAAAAATAAAATAAAACAAAACAAAACCAAAAAGAAAAGAAAACAAACAAACAAACAAACACAAAACAAATGTAAGTATAAAAAGAATCAAAAGTATGCAAAAAATATCTCCTCCCCTGTATTTTCTGGGAACTTTTGAAGTCCTGAAATTGCAGTCTACTAGTCAATCATGTGAATTTCAAAAAAATTGCAATCTTGACAATTTTGATTTACATTTGAAAACTAACACAAGGTGAGCCAATGCAACGGATTGAGTACAAATAAATTATACAGCTTAAGAAAGTGTTACATGTATATAATGTAAAATATAATCTAACATTAATATCTACTAGAATCATATAATGAGTTATAAAAAATAATGAACTGAATCAGTAAGTTGTTAGATAACAAATACATACTTTATATATATATATATATATATATATATATATATATATATATATATATATATATATATATATATATATATATATATATATATATATATATATATATATATATATATTTAGTAACTATAATATGAAGTCATCAAATGTAATTTTCGAAAACATGAAAACTTTCCTAAAAAACATACACATGTAAAACTATTCATCTAATTCCCCAAGGCGGTCTTCATGAATACCTTGAAACTTTTTTCTACGACAATAATATAATTATTCATCATGAATGAAAAATCAAATACAATTAAAAGGATAATACATACTGATTTCTTTTTACCAGTGCTGAATTGGGTTCAGCATGTAATATTGGGCATTTATATATATATAAAAAAGAATTTATTTAAGAAATAAGGTATCATTTAAAACATGGATTGAAATAGGTTGGTCATGAGATAAAATCCCACAATGCCCCAAAGACCATATTGTTGATTTGTTCCCGAACAAACGATCATCTGTGTCTCGATAGATGTTTTAAAGTGATACCTTTCTTATATTTTTAACTTTGTGTCTGACTTATAACAAATGTTTCAGCAGTAATTATATTATATAATATTGTATTATATAATAATATTGAACCCTATAAAACTATTTTTCAATTTTGAAATGTTGAATACAATTTATTTACCATATATGATATCCTTTTAAAATTGCGTGGAACATTTAATGACTTAAAAATTGACAACATGTGACAAACAGCAATAAACAGCAATAGATATGCATTGCTCAAATAGTGTTAAGATGTTTGCAGATATATTTACATATACACATATATATTGTAAAGCATTAGTGGTTACAGTTTTATATCCTGCTTAAATAGGTTTCTTGCAGACATAATAAAAGGTATGCGTACATGGGTAAGCAAACCACTTCCAACTTTCATCTTTCCTTGCTGCTGCACAGTTATAATGTTTTCCTTCATGTGGCTGTCCCTTTGCCCAGTTGTCGTAAATCACTCTGGATCCATCAGAATCATAGACATACACACCTTCTTGCTGGTTGTCTGTCACAGCAATCCATATACCAACGTCTCCTTTAAGCAGATTTATATTTGTCATTATTATTTTTCACTTTCATTCCCCTTAAATGAAATAAAATTCCCGTTTTAAATCCTCACTGATTTTGAAAAGGGAATTCTATTTATAAGAACAAAATAGATCACTCTTACAACTAAGTTATTAGCTGTGATTGAACAGTTCCTTGTCCCAGCATTGTAATAAGGGTCGCATAGTAAATATAATCATAAAATCCTGGGTTATATGAGTTTAGTCCGGTTTAAAGCAAGGAATTTATAACTCTATCTATTAATCTTTTAAAGCAAGATCAATTGTAACAATTGCACAAAAATGATAACATAAAGTCATGACGGTATGCACATCATTTGCCTAATGAAAGATATATGAAAATATTTACATTTCGAAATATTTTTTTTCTTAAGATTCTTTGCAAATTAGAAAAAAAGATTATGTTCTCATGAACTACTGTGGGATGAGTAAGACTATTTCCATTGTGATTTGATAAAAATAACAAAATAGTGTAATCTTATTTTTTCAAAATTGATCGTTGAATGGCAAAAAATATGTAGCAAGTCATCAGAAAAATAATGTCATTATAAGAGATAAATTTAGTTTGTGAGAATTCATGAGATATGCAGGCGTGAAGCGTCGTAGTTCATGTCCTCATAAATTCTCAAATATAAGATTCATCTTCTAACTAATTGGTATCGAATTATTGTGCAATTAACATTTTTGTATTTATATAGATTTCCAAGTTTGAAACTTAAGATTTATTGATTGTATATTGTTTAACTCATATAGAGGCGTCACCACATATATGGCGGCTTCTAATTAAGGCCTGTAATCGGCACCCAGAGCCATTTCAAAAGCAGTTAGTGTTCTTTATCATGCCAACGGTTACCGTTACACTGGACCTCGCATATTAAGGTTTCATTTCAAAGACCCTTTCACTTCTAATGTGGGGCGTTTGGAAAAGGAACAGTCACTACCTATGTTTACGTCTTATGTTTGACGCGGCGCAACGAACGACAATCGACCTCCCGATCATGAAGCAAACAGCCTGCTACTAGGCTACCGCGTGACCGTTCAGAAAGTTTAAAAGCAGAAAGGCAGAAAGAATCAATAGGCATCTTTCCCCTCTGATCAACATTTGAGGTTTCCAATTTGTGGCTAAGGAATACCCCATCAAATCCACAAAATCCATGAAAATAGAATCCTAACAAATTAGTATTAAAGTTGAACTTGGGTATCTCGAACACCGATATCACAATTATCATAAGATATTTCAAAGTGATGTGGAAGTCCCAACCACATATTCTTTAATATTTTACACTTGAAATATCTGATCATCAAATATCACGAAGTTTATTCTTGGTCACATGGAGTTCGAAATAACAAAGTTTGACTGATAATTACAGTAAAGAACTGGATGATTTGTTTTACATAGTGTTTTGTAATATATCTTTTTACTTTATTTTATACATGTACCAACATGCATGTATATTGACAGAGTTTTAGCTAATCAGGAGTAAACCTGCTGAAATTATCTTCACCAAAAAGGATCCTCGCCATTCCTACTGAAAATATAGGCGAAATGGAACCCTACTAATGAATGTTATACCATGAATATTTAGGCGTCCATAAATTTAAAAAGGTAGGTCCATAGAAATTTTGGAATTGATTTGCTTGAAAATCATGAGAACACATCGAGAAAATGTAAATGAGGTAAAGCAACAAATGGGTAGTATTTTTTAAGAGATGTGTCATTCTTACAAGTGTTATTTTGGTAATTATATGGTGAATAGTTATGGCTACTTAAAAAAACCTAGCCTTGCAAGCAGAGGCCAACACTTATGAACATCACGAGCTCATATCAACGTCTTTGTAAGGCAAGGTAAAAATTGAATACGGTGATATTGTTTGGTTTTGTAAAAAAAAATAATTTTAACTGAAACTTACCTTCTTCTCTTAACTGTAAACCAACCACTTTCTCTATTCTTGTGTTTTGATGTTCAGTAAGACTTGCTCTCTTGTCTTTGCATGCTTTCTGTAAAATCATTGATGATACACACCATTGGATAAGACGTTTTAAACCCTCATTCAAACTTTTAATATCTTTTCCAAAGCCAAACATTTTACCTGGATAAAAATATAATCAGGGTTGTTTCTCTATAGAATACATTGCTTACCAAAGCATCTTCAAATGTTACTCTTTTGGGAGAAATGAAGTAGCAAGAATATTCTAAGTGAATCCATCCCTTCTTGCAAGCTATTCAAAAGAGGAAAATCCAAGTCTAGCGAAAAATTAATATCGACATTATAGAGTAGAGAATGAGAGAAAGAATAATATTGAATTTTGACATTTTAATTACTTGAAGAAATGGCATTCCCTGTGTAACCATGTCCATCATTATCACGCTGTCCGTAAATGATAACGCCAAAGGGTGTTCCATCTGTTGTTCTAACTTTCATCACACCGCTTGGAATACTTAAAGTCCAAACGCTATACAAAGATTTATCTACTGAAATCATGGAAAAATGACAGGTGTTGTTCTCATTTGCGTTCGTTCCATTTATTGTAAGATACTCCAGAGAATTGGCTTTTATGATAAAAGTGGCAAAACTAAACTTGAAATTTCCTGGTACGATAAGATTGTACTCGTTGATATATTGATGTATTCCAGGGATTGTTATCATAAAAGGATCACCATATAAATCATGCTGGGCCGAAGCATAGGCAAAACTATTTATTAGCAAAGGCTCAATCGACTCTATAGTAGCTGTTTCATTTTCCCGGATAATAAAATCAATTTTCTGATTTTTTGAAACAATTGCTTGTGTTTTGCTTCCTTCAATAGAATATTGAACTACTGTTTCGATGGGTGAAATTATGCGCACCTGAGATTTGTGTCTATAAATATTCGATGGAACAATAAATATATTATCCAGTTTGTCAGTTGGTGGAACCATTTCCATGAGCATGCTACATGATCCATACCCTCCGAGTTTATTGCATGCATTTCCCGCGAAGATTGCAACTGAGTGAGAAGCATTGATAGTTGTCCCTGACAAATCCGCCTCAAGTCCTACTTGAAATGTTTGATACATATTCAATATAATTGTTATTTCGTCACCATTACCATATTTACTGCCATGAAATGAAATCATCGCGTCACGATCTATGACTAAAGTGATACTGATGCGTGTATTGTCTGTTTTGGACGCAATTGTAAAATGACTCCCCAAACTAAGATAATGTTCAACTGTTGGTGTTGAGGTTGATATAATGTAATGTGTTGAAAGTTTATCAACAGGAAAAACTGTAGTACTATCTGAGTTGAAATCTATATCATTCATGGACAATACAAACGTGAGCGATGAGGTGTTGATCAAAATAGCCTTATCTTCAACGGAGGAATAAGACGGAACCATCCAATAATGAACATTAATCTTTTTTAATGTGATATTTTCAGATCTTTCGGTAGATATGGAAATCAAATTGGAATTCATATTCTTTGAGAGTGTAACGGTGATATTGAAATCATTCTCAGATAACACAAGAATGGTTCTGTTACTTTTCTTTGATTTAACGCTAATTTGGATAAAGCTAACGAGAAAAGAGCGCCCTCTGCTACCTGCAAAGAAAATCATTTTATGTGATAAATTTCAACAGCGTAGAACATGTAGAATTTTCAAAATACTGCAATAGAAAGTTCGTAAAAGTATACACTGTCATATTATCCTTTACTGATATCAGGTACGCAATATTTATTGTAGATATCGGTGTTTTTGCCGTCTAGTATTCTCATAAACACAAGTTGACGTGAGCTAAGATAGATGAACACCAATATGTGGCGTACTTCAAATAATTCTTTTAATTTCATGATCAAGTTTCATTTAACGGAACTTCATGGACAACCCTCGTATATTTAGATTTCTAAAGCTAGTGGATGTATGTGCTCTCGATCACATTATATTCGAAACATCTCACTTTTGAAATGCTTTTATTTTTGTATTGCTTGTCTGTAGAATTGTAGAAAATTATCATTTAGTTTAATAATTAATTACTTTTAACAGCGACTCATATCTTTAAGATCATTATAAGAAGCACATCAAATGAGCTTCATTGAACACGACTAAAGAGAATTAGCAAAAGAATTGAAATTTCATACTTAAAATTGACTGTAAATAATTTGTCATATTGTCGAATGATGATGCTAACTAAACGACACAATGATTTCACAAAGTTGATTTTAATTAATTTGTTCTATACAAGCCCTCTATGATAGTGTTTCATTATGTATGGTTTCACTTTTCGAAATCCTTACTAAAATTTCATTTTTTTTAATTATTGGTAACGTTACAAAATTCACCGTTCCATTTTCTTTGAACTTCCTGTGGATTTCCCTGCAGATCTACCATTTGTTGCTGCGGGATATGCTGTTGATCTAAATTTGAAAAAAAAATGAAGAATTAGAATGAAAAACGTTGCAATATTCGATCTTTTCCATTGGCATTATTTGAAGTATTGTATAATTTCCATTTGTAATCTATAATTTTCAATTTGTATTGAATAATGTTTTTCATTTTAAAAATTGTTTTAAAATCAGATATCAACACTGGATGGGACTTAGCCAGTCAACTGAATGGTCACTGACAGGTCTGGAAATGTGACTGAATGGCTGAGTTCTGCCATTCAGTCACTTTTCTGTAATCTTTCAGTCACCTTACAGTTAAATGATTTGTCGTGTTCAAAATGTGTAAAAGTTTATATATTCATAAGACTAAGAGAAGAATTGGAAATGAATTGACCCTTGCTGTTATACTGTAGTTTCAGTTTGAAAAAAAAAGGTTTAACATATTAAACTTTTCAAAATCTGTTCGTTATGCATGTTATGTAATGTAAATATATTCGATATCAACTGCAACGTCAACATAAAAGAAGCTTCATTGAACACAAAATATATTGGTAAAGAACCGAAATTTCATACATAAAATTGACAGTTAATAATTTGTCTTATTGTCGAATGATGATGCTTGGACTAGATGACACATTGATTTTGCAAAGTTCATTTTAACTAATGTGTTCTATAAGAGCCCGCTATATGATGATTTATTATACAGTCGAAGTTCTCGAACACTGATATCTCAAATACCATAGATATGTCGAAGTGATTTAGAAGTCCTAACATCTTATTCTTTATTTTTTTAAACAGGATATTTCGAAGCTATTTCTCGGTCCTATTAAGTTCGAGATAACGACGTTTTACTGTATATTTTTTATGTTTCGAATTCCTTATTAAAATTCAATTTTTGTTTATACATAACCAAAATTGGTTACCTCATGATACTCACCGGTCCATTTTCTCTGAACTTCCTGTGGATTTTCCTGCATATCTTCCATTTTTTGCTGTAGGATATGCTGTTGATCTAAATTTGAAGATAAGATCGCATTTGAAAAATTAGAATGAAAATACATTATCTGTATGGCATGTCAAACGTTTCAATATTTGATTTTTTTTATTTTGTATTGTATAATTTTTCATTTGTATTGTGTAATTTTTATTTGCATTCTATAGTATTTCATTTGTATTTTATAATTTTTCATTTGAATAATTGTGATAATATCAGAATGAAACTTGGCCAGTCAACAAAAAGTTCAATGAAAGATCTGTAAAAGTGACTGAATGACAGTGTTCGGCAACTCAGCCACTTTTAAGCAATCAGTCAGTCACCCTTCAGTTAACTGATTTGTATAGCTTTATAATGTGCAAAGTTGATAAATACATAAGACTCATACAAGCATTGGGAATGAATAAACTCTTGCTGTTATACTGTAGTTTGAAGCAAAAAGACTTAACATATTAAACTTTTCAAAATCTTTTCATCGTGTAATGTAAACAAATTCAGTATGACCCTAACAAAAAAAATCTATAGTTAACTATAGTTTGCAATAGTTAACTATAGTTAACTTAAGTAAATCAAAGTGTCAAAGTTATCACTATAGAAAATCTAAGTTTTCAAAGTGATCACTATAGTGTCAAAGTGATCACTATAGTAAATCTAAGTTTCCAAAGTGATCACTATAGTGTCATAGTTATCACTAAAGTAAATCAAAGTTTTCACCATAGTAAATCAAAGTTTTCATAGTGATCACTACAGTAAATCAAAGTTTTCATAGTGATCACTTTAGTAAATCAAAGTGTCAAAGTTATCACTATAGTAAATAAAAGTGTCAAAGTTATCACTGTAGTAAATCAAAGTTTTCATGGTGTCAAAGTTATCACTATAGTTAACTATAGTAAACTATAGTTAACTTTAGTATTTCTTTGTTAGGGGAATTGCAAAATCAACGATATCTTTTAATGATACAGGTATCATCGACGTTTGGAAAAAAAATATCCAAATTTCCTGCATTTGAAGATTTCAATATTCCGTTTTGGAATTGATTGCCCATATCAAATTACAAGAAATATTCTATATCAGAAAATCAAAAGGTTAAAAGGATTAAAAGGAATAAACTGAATGAACTGTTATACATTTATTGACTGAGTTCGAGGGCAACATGCGTTTTGTCGGACCCATGAACCAAACTGTTTGCCTGAGGCCGTTAGGCAATAGTCAATAAATGTTTTGTTATACCTTTTACTTTTTATTTTGACATAACATAATGAAAATTTTGTTTAACCGCACTGCGGTTTAAACTTGGTCATTTCCGTGAAGTTCTGTCGAACTCCAACGACTGCAAATAAGATACAGCTGACGCCACCTATACTGTGACGTAGGCGGTCCAACATCTCATCGACAGGTCCAATATCTCGCTCTGGGATCAAGCATCGATTTTTTTTATGACTGCTCAATAAAACATTGGAAATGTTAGACTTTTTAAGTATAGAATTATATAGGAATCAATTTTTAAAGGGATAACAATTTAAATTGTTTACCTTTTTCTTTTTTAGAATGAAGATAAAACAGTACAGTCAAAATGGTCAATCCAAAAACAAGAGCAATGACGAAAGGAATTAATATTTTTTTCAGAGTTGTGCCCGGATTATTGGATTTCTTTTTATCCCTGTCCAATTCAAAATTGGGTGTTTCTATTTGCTCTGCCCCACACTTGAAAAAAGTTAAATAAGCAAAAATTGTAATAAGCGCATAATTCGGAAAAGAGCATTGACTGTTTTAGAATACTGTAGAAAATTGATTAAAAACTAAGGTAAATAACTAACGTGAAAAAAGAAAAAGAAAAAAATATTACGTTAGAATAAACGTGCATCTCACGTTGCCTTTGAAACTGGTCCTGAAAAGGAATAATTTCCATGAACCATGAATGGCAAACCTTATGAATCGTTAAATATCGTTAAATATCAAACTCAGTAAAATCTTACAAAATCTTACAATAAGTATATACATATGTAGTTATGCAATTCCATCCCCAAAACACGAAAACTGCAGAGAAAAACAAAAGTACGTGCAGAAGATCAATTTTTCAATAAATATACAAAGTGCATGTTTTTTCAAGAAACATGAGCATAAAGGATTATGAAAATCTTATGGGTGTCTCTTATTCGCTGTTACTTTATCCATTTAACCCCCCACACCCCCAAAAAAGCCCACCTAGTATAAGCAACAATTAGATTTTAATTAAGTAATTATATTGTGGCGAATGCTCGTAACAATATATTTATAAAAATAAACCCGGCAGAACCCAGGTATAGGTTATCTGGCTATTGGAATGGCATCCTTTTGAGCCTGGCGCCATAGCCGCTTGGCACCCCTCCCCCCACTTCCCCCCCTCTGTACACTTAAATGTGGTGGGTACAGACCTCTCGTTGTCCTCGCTAACAGTACTAGTGAGTGCCACACAAGATACAGTACCAACCGGACCCAACCTGACAGAAAGCAATCCAAGTGGGCGAGCTTAATAAACCTTATTGGCGGAGCTTATTTCTAACTGAAAGTACCCTTTTGAATCAACAAATAATTTCAGTATTCATAAAGGCAGTTGAAATCGATGGTGCACTTCTTTTTCCAGTAGCAAATTATATATAATATACATGTACATGTATGCATATACATTTAACACCGCATATTCACACTTCTTATTTGATGTATTGTTTTAATACAACAATAATTTATTTTTTAATATAAAAATAATTTTGTTTTTTTAATACGCAAAGACAGTCCCACCATAGCAACAAGTTTTGCAATTATCTTAAGAGTTGGAAGCATAAAATTTATCTAGTATAAAAGGTCATTGAATAGATGATATTGTTGATTTTTTTTTCTTTAACGTTTGTCCATAAATGAGTTGGATGACGAGGACCCAATACGATTACCTGTAACTGCAGTCCATTGATAATCCAAATTGTAAAATAATGCCTTGTTAAAAAAATAAAACACAATATACACATATTTACCGGGTCTATATA